TCACTATAGTAACACCACTGGTCAGTGTATTCTGACTTGATGCTACTTGTGTCACTCTGGGCTGGTGTGACTGCACAGATGGAATACATGTTCAGCCCTGTGGCAGACATCATGCTGCTACTGCCACTCACAGTGCTCTGGCTACGAGACCGCAGCACCCAAGGATCATCGTAATCACTGCAGGGACTTTGTGACGGCAAGCTGCCATTTTTGCACTGGAGGTTCAGTTGCAACGAATGTTGAAGGCTAGCTATCAGTTTATCATCCAGTACTTGTCCGCTGGTCTGAGGTTTATTCTTGGGGATTCTTCTAAGAGAATCTGTTCTGGATGGTGGGAGAGGTGGTTTTTTTGCCTTTTTTAAGGAAATGCTACGTGTGAGTGACTTGTCATTGGAACTTGCAAAATCTTCCAGAGATTTCTTCTCGGTTCCAGCAAACACATTAATGACACTATGCCTGGGATTTGCAAAGCCATTTTCACCGCAGCTTTTAACAGATTGGGCATTTGAATCCACATGCATAGAAGGGTAACAGACATCACTGTCCACAGAATATAAAGAGTGTGAGTCTTCTGTAGCTAAGACTCTTTCAAGGGTGTCAGAGCTGGAGCAACCTGGAACGGCACATTTTGACATGTGTAAGGTGGTGGTGTCATTTCCACAATGCATGACTCCACAGTGCTTTGCATTTTGTTTAACTTTGTCCTGTATGTTGTCCACAGTGTAACTTGGTTCACTTCTACCGTTGATGTTGTGAGAATGGCTTGACAAATGGTGATTGTTCCTAAAATTATAGGTCACACTTTGGGGGATACTTTCTGTAGTTCCTGTATCACAAAAGGACACAAACACCATTACACCATTGGATGAGATAGTGGTGTCTGAAGAATGTGAGTGATGTGTTGAGCTGGTGTCACTCCAGCTGCCATTAGAAGAACAACGTCGATCTTTTGCATTTATTGTACCACTGCCAACTAGATTGTCTCTGGACTTTAGATACAAAGAAGAGTTCATCATTTTCTTATCTATTGTCTCGGAATTCTCTGCCGGGTTGTTATTCATAACGTCTGAAGAGGATGATCGGGAAGCATTTGGTGTGATGATGGTAGAATAGGCAACATGTGGAGAGATCATACATGCTGTGCCTTCTGTTTTTCCATTCTCAGAGTTTAATTCTTGAGATTTTGGCCTCTGTAGCCCATTTATCCTACAGCCATTTCTCATATCATCTATTTTTTCATTCCCTTGCCACACACCTACATGATGTAACAAAGGACCACTTTCTGTTGACTTGGAGAGACTATGCCTACGTTCAAGTAACTGTAGGGACACTCTTGCTCCAGACCGAGGTAGACTGTGAAATCCCAGGTCATTATTTAGGCGACAAGTAGGCATGACTCCAGCAGAATCACTCATCACAGACATGTTTCCAGAAGAACTGGAAAACTGTGACATCTGGGCGGCAATTCCATGACCTTTCTGAGCACGTATTCGCCTAACTGAAGGTGGCACCACTTTAACTTCTTCTGTCTGACAGCTGGAGTCTTTGGTGCCACACTGCTGCATAGAAGACTGACAGCTCTCAAGTCTTCCTAGTGTAGAATAATGATCAGGGACACACAATGAATGGCCCCGGATGTCATATTTGCCATTGCCAACTGTAGATATTAAAACAAAACTGTTAGAAAAATAAATATACAGCATTGTTAAAATTGCATTTAAAATGTGTCCATTAATAAAAAGTTTATATAGAGCTCACATTTACTTTTTACCATACAGGTTCCAATATGTTCAGATATTCCTCTTGGCGTGTTTATATTTGCACTATATATTGCAAATGTGATATATTAGGATTTTTTTAAAAGATGAAAATAGACAAAAACGCATAAAGACAACCAACAGCAGGCTAGTAGGTTCCTTGTGTGCTTCAGTTCAAATATATTTTAAACCATATCAGCTGGCGCTATTGTTGAATCCTGCCTATAGCCGTTCCTGTGTCATGCCATGGGGGTCAATATTCCTCCACCCTTTTTAACATCTACATGAAGCCGCTGAATGAGATCACTCACCACCAGGGGTTGAAGTATCATCAGTATGCTAACGATACTCAACTTAATAACTGAGTATCCAAGTATGCTGGTAATCCAAATGAAGCCTGCACACAGTACCTGGAGGTGGGGGGGGGGGAGGAGGGCTGGATGAGGGACAACAGGCTTTGACTGAATGGTTTTGGGTGCATGGAGCTTCAACATCTGGGACTTTAAACTACCTTTAAAGTTCTGCATGGCGTGAGTCCAGGTTACTGGAAGAACCTTCTCACCTCAGTGGAACTGGCCAGCGCTGGCAGAGGAAGCATGCTAAGGGCCAATCAGTTAAGGAATTTCGGCTGGCAGGGTGCAGGAGGAGTAAGATAAACAGAAGTAAAATTCCAATTTTGCACCATTTGGATGAAGCTGTGGATATTATTCAAATTACCTTATATCTTTTAGTTGTTCGGTCATATTCACAGTTATTTAGAATAGATTTCTTCTAAAAACACAATCATAAGGATCTTCTCTTATTTTCTTTTTAATTGTTGGAAATTCCAGTTTTGATATATGTGCAGTTGTTCTTTGCATGAAGCATAAAGCCACTGCAAAGATTAGTCTGACATCCCAAATCACATAATGCTTTATCATCTACAAAGATTTTAAATTAATTTTTTATACAAGAACTCTGATTATATCCAACTTCAGGGCTGACATCATTCACAGGATGTTACAGGTAGTCCTCATCTTATGATCATTTCTTTTAACGATAATTGAGAACCACAATAGCCTCAGAAAGAATGCAATATGGGCTGTAAAGCACTTTCAGCCATTGCAAACATTTGCACTATGCCCCTGGTCATGTGATAATGTTTTTAATATTTCAATCTGTTTAATTTGCAGTTTTAATATGATTTGATATGCTGTTTTAACATTTGATTGGGAGCCATTCAGAGTCGGTTAGAAGATGAGCAGCTACATTTTTTTTTAAACAAATACACACAATGTTAATTTTGGAAAGTTATAAATGGGCTATACGGGTCCAGATGAATTTGAAATGTTTTTGAAATTAATTATAAGAGTCCTTCCCATGAAAAATGCTGTTCCTTTGAACTCTTAAAAAGCACAATAGGATGGAGGTGGGACACTAGAAGAACCCTTAAATATGATGTAATAATTCAGAATGAGGCAAAATATTTAATGTTGGATGTAGAGATGGGTTGCTCCCGGTTTTACAACCAGTTCGCTTCATGCATGCTTTGCGCGCCCCTGCGCAAAACAATTTACAGTGAACTGCGCACGCACGCACACTACTAAACAATATGCTGGCAAGGAAACCGGCAAACCGGTTCAGGGGTGTAACCAGCCTGGGTTACTGTCAGTTCTGCGACCCAGGCCTAAATTCTACTACTGGTTTGGTTGTACCGGGCCAAACCAGGAGCAACCCACCTCTGGTTGGATGTATTGAAGGATATTTGTGAAAAATGGCCATAGAAAATCATTTCAAGTATATCTGCATTTTGCAGGTAGTTCTTGCCTAACAATCATAATAGAGTCCAGAAATTCAGTCTTAAGTCACTGCAGCGATTAAGTGAGCCAGCAATATGACCATTTTGCTTCACAACTGCAATCCCAGATCTCTCATTTGCAGTTATTAAGTAACCACATGGGTCATTAAGCCAGCAGAGCAAAAGAGTTGCCTCCCGAAGGAGGGCAGGCAGCAATTTCCATTCTTTACATTGAAGAGAACTCCTTTCCTGGACAGGCTGAATGGCTTGGATCTTTTTTAAGTAAGCTGAATAACTTTACTACTGGAATTTACAAAGAGACTTGTCAAACTTTCGAAAGATTCTGTGAGAATCTTGACAAAGAAAGAAACGAAAGGAAATGAAGTTCTAGGATATTATTTGAACAAATTAAAGATCAAGATGGTTAAAAGAGAAAGGAATATGAAGTTGGTTTACACAATTAAGATTAAAGCAAGATATGTTATTATCTCTTCTAACCCATAAGGGACTTTTGCTGATCAGAACTGAACAACAAAGTTTTAAGACAAGATAAGATATATGAGATATATCTTATCTATCTATCTATCTATCTATCTATCTATCTATCTATCTATCTATCTATCTATCTATCTATCTATCTATCTATCTATCTATCTATC